GAGACAACTGTTTTGAAGTAGGAGATGACATTGCATTAGTGCAGAATGTTGTCAAGAAAGATGAAGAAATCTATGTGATTTACAAAAGATTTGCAGAAAAAGCATCATCTTTCAGTTATCCTTGTGTTTCCTCTTGCTTGGGCATTTATAAAGTGAGTGAGCTGTCTGATGCGTTGGAGGTTTGTGGATTCTGTTCTGTGAAAAGGAAATGTGTCCTTTATCCAGATGCAGTTGAAGGCAACCTCATTGCTATTCCAATGGTGCATATGCTGTAGGCTTTTGTATTGTTCTTGTTGTTCTTGTTGTTGTTCTTGTTGTTCTTGTTGTTCTTGTTCTTGTTGTTCTTGTTGCTGCTGCTGCTGCTGTTGCTGTACAAAGGCAGATTTGTTTTTTAATACAGGATGGAAAACGAGGTGGTGCTGTGGGCTGTTGTCCAATTCCCCAACAATGGATTGGCAACAGTGCCAACCAACTGGTTCAATGAATCAGAGAAATCTGTATTTTGGCCCCCAAAAAATGTACATGTGACCAGAGCAGTACAAGAGAGAACACCGCCCCAAAATGACTGGACCAAATATGTAAATATCCGTCATATGGTAACCTGTGGTGAGTATTTATGTATCTATTTTTTGCCATTTGGGTGCTGGGTGATGAATCAAGTTGATTACAAACAACATCAACAACAAAGTGGGCTGGCAAATAAGCAATAATCAAAAAGTACTGGGGTAAAAAAATAAAAAAATCAAGGAACAGTAAACTCTGACACGTCTCCTTTCTCCTCTCTTTTCCTCTCTTCCCGCATGCTGCACACCGGTGAGCTAGGCGCAGCCTTTAACATGCCAGTCTTTAGACCAGAGGTGATGATTTGGTGGCATTTTAATGCAGGCTTGAATTAGTTGTTTGTCCTTTACACTAAAACAGAAAATAATCCGGTATCAGTCTCTACTCAAATAAAAATACTACTGTCATACTCACTTTAAACATAAAACCGCTTATGTATATCCACATGTGCTCACGTAAACAGTGCATGGCACCAATTACAGTAACAGTAAAACAGGTAAATGTCACCACAAACTTGGCTTATTATATTAAACACTTGTAATGTGCACGCACAAACATCTTCAAAGTAGTCTGACTAACAAACTGCAACTAAACTTAAGAACCTTCAGAACTAACTGCGATGCGTCTCTTCCTCTTCTCATCTCACTTTGCTCATGCTGCACACCTGTGGGCTAGGCCCTGCCCCTTAAAGGGCCAGCTTGCCAGGCTATAGACAGCCTTTTCTACAATCTATAATTCTTTCTGTTTGTTCCAAGCCAAATTGCGTTTATCAGAGGCACCATTACCACCCCTTGAGTGGGCTCAATTGGTTCTATATATTTTTTAATTTATGTATTTCATCCAAAAGCGACATGATAGCCCCCTTTGTTAACGTTGTTTTTTTTGTATACAATATTTACAATTACTATCAAGCGAGTTACAGATATAATTTAGTGCATTTTGCAATGGGAGAAACAGAATTAAGTTCAAGTTGTCATGTGACCCTCAAACTCAGTCCTGGTTACTCATGTTATAAAATTTAATTGCCCACCCCTGCTTGAGATGATGCCTTGTTCTGCCTTCAAACACTTGTAAGTATTGATTATAAAAATTAAATGAATTCTTTATTTCAGACTCGTATGCAAAGGCCACACAACTGGAGAGAAAGTACATAAACTCCGAATGCGCAACCACTGATTTGGAGTCCGAAGATGAGGCGAGTGAGCGAAAAAAGAGGAAATCAAGGTACACTTTAGTTGCTTGTTTTAAATTAGATTTTTGGAATGATAATTTTCTGGCTTTTTGTTGGAGACAAGAAATCAGTATCAGAATAGTGTTCATTGCCATTGTTTCAGAACAGGTTCACTAGGATTTTTTTCCCAGTACAATCATGCAACATGGAACATAAAACATGTAACACATAATTTAGATAAAAATAAACTATACAACTTTAAAGCTATAAGGCTATAATCAATATATGCAAATTTAAAATAAATTCAAATATGATAAAGATGACAACAATTTGAAATAGAACAACAGAGTAAGTGTATTCACAAATGTGCACGTGCATTAAGTGATAGCAGCAGATCTAAGTGTAGACATACCACATAGTCCAATAGAGTAGTGCAAATGGCTGGTTATTAGAGAGCGATAACACGCTTGATCCATCACAAACATTTCTGTTTGGGACCTCTGCTGATAAATCTTTGTTTGATACTCAGCTCAGACATACTCATGGGACCTTTTTTGTTTTATGTTAAACAAATTGTGACGTCCTTATATACATATATTTTTTTTGTCCGCAGGACATTGACTATCTAAATAATTGCCTATTTTGTTTGAAACCAAACTGCAAACACAAAGTGCTTTGTTTGTTTTAGACCAAATCCATTATATGTAGATGGAGCAGAGGAGCCAGAAAGAGGTTCTGGAAAAAGATTTGCAAAAGCACCACAGGTCAATTTTCCAGGTACAAAGATGACAACACCATGCAGTATTCAACATTTGTATAAGTGCTCAACATTTAATCAATTATGTTTATTTGTTAATAAAGAAATGCCAGCATCTAGCCATTTTACGAAGGCACCCCTGTCACACACTGGTATGCAATGTTGTTATATTAGAAAATGTTACGGAATAGATTATACATATTTAGAGTTTTATACAAATAACAATACTGTTTGTCTAGTCTCCAGAGCCATCTGCATAGAGGATGAAGAATTATCTGATCCACTTATTACAAGTATGTTATATAGGCCTAGACATTATGGCAAAAAATGTAATCAATTTTTTTTTCTTACATTTGATCGATCTCGATTTTTGATTCAATTATAGTATTTCATACTAGAATATATAGCTGATTGATTAACAGTCCGTTTTTACAAACTTCAGCTCAAACAAAAAACAAATGCTTCCCTCCAGTACCATTTAACATAGTGGTTCTCAACTGGTGGGTTAGTACCCAAAGGTGGGTTTTCAGTGGGTCTCAAGCCAAGCTGAAATGATCAGGCTGGTTTGATAATAATTTAAGCTTTTCTTATTTGATGCTTATTCAACAACATGTTTTGACATCATAGGGTCCCGACGCCAGTTGACAACTACTGCACAAAAATCTTCCATTGTTTCATCCACACTCCAAAACTAGGTGCTGTTTCTGCCAAAGAAAACCTAACCTGAGAATTTTAAAGACTCATGACAATTATTGAGATTGACCAAAGTAGAGATTGCGATTTTGATTAATAGCCCTGCCCTATGTTTATAAGCTTTGCTGGTAATTTAATATGTTTTATAATTTTTAGTTTGTTTTGGTTTTATTCTTTCAGGCTTTGATGCCAACTCTCTGACACAGTTTCAATCACAGGAGCTCTTTAATGATGGTAAGTAAAAAGTAAAAATGTGTGGGATACATTACTTATAGTCAGGTCCATAAATATTGGGACATTGATTCAATTCTTATGTTTTTGGCTCAATAAACCACCACAATCGATTTCAAATGAAACAGATCTACTTAAACTGCAGACTTTCAGCTTTAATTTTAGAGTATTTACATCAAATCGGATGAACGGTGCAGGAATTAGAACCATTTGTATGTGAGCCTCCTACTTTTTAAGGGATCAAGTAACAATTATAAATCAAACGTTTTCCTTTTGGTTGCAAATCCTATTTAACAGCAACAGTATCCAAAATACAAATATCACACTTGAAATGAACTGTGGACGTCTCATCTGTTCCTTATAAATGGGATAATGAGGGAAGAGCAGACACCAGGCCATGGAACAGCTGAGCAACCACTTGTCCCATTACTTTTGGTCCAATGTGTGAGGCACATATACAAACGGTTGTAATTCCTACATCGTTCATGTGGATGTAAATAGTCTCAAATGAAAGTTGAAACTCTGCAGTTTAACTACATCTTTGTTGTTTCATTTCAGATCCATTGTGGTGGTTTATAGAACCAAAAACATAAAAACATTTTTTTCTTATTGTGTAACTCTACTCCATAATTTAAAAACTTAAACTCAAACCATACCATTTCTTACTTCTGTATGTTTGTGAATGTCATTTACAACTGCTATTCGTTCACAGCATGATTAGTTTTTCATTGTTTGTGCACCATTCATTTTGTTTGCTGTTTCTAACCTCAGACAACATATTTACAACTGGCAGCAGTTCTTCTGGCCTTGGGTCACCCATCCTCACCACCACGGGTACAATATATTCTTTATTTTCACACTGTACTAATATTTTAGTTGCTCCAAATTTCTTTGTTGTATTTTCCCCATCAATCACAACTAAGCACAACTAACCATTCATTGTAGGCGCAGCTCCTGAAAAAAGCTCCAAGGAAACAAAGCAATTGTTTAAAGGTAAATATACCATTCCATGTTAAATCAAGAAATGCATTCTGCTCGACCATCTCAGATTTGTTTCAAGCTTGGATTGGAAGATTGTAGTTGTTATACCGAATAGTGAGTGTGAGAAGTTTGGAGTTGGTGTTTTTTGTAGCTTCTAGGATTTTTTGCAATGATGCAACATACAGTAGATAATAATAATTAATAAAGCTTTAAGGTCATGTAATAAAAATAAGTCTAAGATAAGTACGGTGTAAGTCGCCTACTTAGTGCAAATACAACAGTGCAAGTTGTCTGGTGTTCATGAGTCTGATGGCAGAGGAGAATGCTTTTATGGTTATTTTTGCAATGTTGTAGTTTGGTTGTTTGTATTGTTTGGTTTCAATGTAATGTCATATACAATGTTTTAATGAAATTAATGTAAAATGTGTGCTTTTTCAAGATATTACTGGAAATAAAACTACAGCCATGCTGGCAGAGATTCTGGTAGAAGTAAAGCAGCTCGGGCGTGATATGCAGTTTGTGAAAAGTGAAATAATGAACATAAAAACAATGCTACATGGAGGAAAAGGATCTGAGGGCAGAGACTTTCCCATGGCTTTTCCACTGATGACCGAGGAGCAGTTCAATGACCTGGAGACAGTGCTTAAGGAAGAGGCAATGCGACGGAAGCTGGTGAATAACAGTAATATAGTAAAGTAGGATTAGAATTTTTCCTAGATGTGAAAACATCTACCTGACATATGAACTACATTTCAATATCAATTGTATTGTTCATGACACCATTTTTTTCTTATTCTTTAAGGTGGCCCGTTTGACATTAGTCGGAGGGGTGGATTCTGGCTGCATGATTCGGCGCATGGCGTCAGCCGTCCTCTCAAACCAATTGGCCTGCCTCTTTAACTGGAAGGGAAAAGGAGGTAAAAGGGCCTTCGAGAGCACCTCCTTACTGGACTGCATGTTTGGTGAGTCTGTCTCAAATTAAAGGGTAAACTAAAGGCATTTATTATACGGCTCTTCACAATGCAAGTAGAACGCTCCATTGACTTGAATGGGATTTTCCAGCGTTCTACGGGTCATGACTTTTCTGCTAGAGGACCTCTGAAAAAATAATGACCGCTCATGTCGTAGAAATATAATGATCGCATTTTGATTTACTTACTGCTCTGGCCTCCCCATCGGGTGTTTTTATTTTTGTAAGAGTTAATCCTCTTTGGTTCTGGCCAAGGTTTGCCAAACATCCATTGGTGAAGTGACAATCATAGACAAACAGATTCTGCTGGTTAGTCTTTAGGAAGTTTGAATAACGTCTTGTACCTCTTGCAGCCAAACACGCATTTTTGCCGAGAAATTATTGTTAGGTAAGAATAAAAGAGTGTCCAGAGTAGGTTAGAAAGGAGCCACTTCTTAACTTCAGCGCTGTGTTTGTTTAGTCTGCTGGGGCAGCGCAGACACGTCGGGCACTTTCTTACAGAAATAATGGAAAAGCTGTTTTACGAATTGAAATCAGGCCGTAAGGCACACATGCTCACATTCTTCATTACATTACAGATGTCGGGCACTTCCTGGTTTTACAATCTTACGCAGAAATGAGTAAAATGGGCACTGCTGCTCATAGAGCATGACTCATTAGGATTATTGAGACATGCGTGAATGAAACCAAATAACACTCTGGAGGTGTTTTTGATAAGGAAATAACATTACAACATGGTTAAAAGCTCTAAAAGTTGATTTTGCATGATATAGGACCCTTAAGGGCCATACTGTAGAACTTGATTTGATGTTAATTTTTTCGATAGCATGTGCATAACCTCTAAAACTTTTAAACTATATAAAACATACATTATTTCTTTGCTATTAGGCTCTAAAACTAAATAAAACTTTTTTTTTTTTGTGCGCGCGTCTTTTATTGTGTTTATTAACGTTATTCATTTATTTATTTTCCTAACAATCCTGAATACTTTTTACCAAATTTCAGGTAACAAATTATTTGTAACCTAATCTGAACCCTATGTCATATGCAGTATATAAATAAAGTTAGGTTTTGTTTTTTTCTGATTTACTTATTTTTGTGTGTTTTTTCTTACCCTTTTTAGCGGCTGCACGTCATTATGACAAGTCCATTACTGAATTGGCCTTTGGAGACGTTGTCAAAAAATGGCTGCGGTACGCCCCAGAGAGGAAACATGGACTGAAGAGAAAAGCTCTGGGGGTCAGTAATTAAACGTGTTTTTTTTTTTTTTTTCTTCACCCCCAAATATATATAAATACTAAATAAATAAATATAAAAGAATAAAAGAAAAGAAAAAATAACATGTTTTTAGAGTACTGCTAAACTTCTAAAATACTGTTCTGAGTCCATGTGCTATGTAATTTTTATTAAAAATTGTGTGTTCTAAAATGGTCTGTTCTGTTCTTTCTTTCTTTTTTTTAAAGAAATGCACTACTGTGTGGCAATATATCAATTTGTTAGGGTCATTTATTTATTATTGAATGAATTGTGAAATAAAGGCCTTAAATGTAATTAAAACGCACTAAAATGTATTCCAACAGGCATTAATTGTACATATATTTGAAAATAGTGATGTTATATAACTGTGTTACTGCAAATATTCATTGAAAATACAAAAAATAAGCTCCAAAACACACTGAACTCCAGTTTTGAATGAAATTTAACACATTTTTTGGCGCAAATTGCTCGTTGTGTATAATTCCGTTAAATATTGAAAATGATGCTGTGTACCAGTGTTCCTCGTGACACTAACCAAATCTGCACCACTTCTACAAACGTTTTATTGCTACACTACAATTACCTGGATAGCCTTAATTATGATGGCCCTGTAAATAAGTACTTTTATGAAACAAAGTATTATACAGTGGTTACATTGTGTTGGCAACAAATTGAGGGAATATATATTTGCATTGAGTAACCTTGTGTATGAAATGCGGTATAAATTAACATTGACTTGCCTATAATTCATACATTCTTGACTGGATCCTGGGGAGATATGTATTTATTTATTTTACTTTTATAGTTTTACACTTAAAACCTACCCCAATATATCACCATAAGCAATGGGTTTTCTATTTATTTTTGTGGTATTTGGTCAAAACTCAATCTCCTGTCTCTTCTCCATGTCTCATGGACATGGAGAAGCTTTTTGTTTGTTTGTTTTTAATTTACTGTACATTCTTCATGGAGGCAGGTTATTGTTTTTTTTACTATATTTATTCATGGAAGCAAAAGTGCTGAAGTGCTGAAGTGCAAAAAAACAAAAAAGATGTAACTTATGCTGTAATATCTGTCTTGGGATTGCAGGAGGCACTGTCACGCTATAGGCACCAAATAACAATTTAAATGGGGCATGCGCAGTAAAATTTTGTAATGTAAATACCTTGGTAAACTTGTCATTCTGACTGCTATATGGATGCGTAATGTAAACAAACAACAGGAGGAGATGGATTATGCCTCAGATCCATATTGGACTGGTTATGCCTGTGTAAATGACTCAACATGATGACCGCGGTGAATGTTTAGTGGCTGATTTAGGTGGTGACGCGGTAAGTAAATCCAATAATCAAAATGTAGTTTAAAAAAGGTTGAACATAGGCATATTTCAATCGTTTAATCAATGTTGAATTCATGTTTAAAAAACGTTTGAATTTTGACATCTATTCAACTCCTAATCAATGTTATTTGCATGACATTGATTCCATGTCAGAAAAGCTCAAAAATCAACGTTGTGTTCGACATCTATCATATCGAGCGCTTTCAATCGCAGTTCAACGTCATTTTTCAACATCTATTCAATCATAGGCCATAACAGTATTTAAATGTTGAAACGATGTCCTTTTGGTGACGCGGTAAGTAGCTCCAATAATCAAAATATCGTTTAAAAAAGGTTGAATATAGGTATATTTCAATCGTTTAATCAATGTTGAATCCATGTTTAAAAAACGTTTGAATTTTGACATCTATTCAACTCCTAATCAATGTTATTTGCATGACATTGATTCCATGTCAGAAAAGCTCTTAAATCAACGTTGTGTTCGACATCTATCATATCGAGCGCTTTCAATCGCAGTTCAACGTCATTTTTCAACATCTATTCAATCACAGGCCATAACACTATTTAAATGTTGAAACGATGTCCTTTTGCTATCTGGGTATTGTTTTATTCTTTATGATTTATTGATTCTTTTTAACACGAGGAGAAGACGGTGCAGAAAAGATAAACCAGGCCCCGCCTATAAGCTCCTGCAGCTTCCTGGGAGTTCCCTTTTCCAAAGCACTTCCAAACCTTAGACATTAGTGTGTGTGGGACTTGTTGAAGTTTTGTAAATAAAGAGAATTGAAGTGAACACATGGTTGTCACGTGGGCATCTTAGTGTCACTAATACAAGTGCATTTATGATGTATGTCATGATTCTCCACAGAACAGTGTTTTATATGAACAGCTCTAACAATAAACAGAGAAAGCTCACAGCAGGAGAGCTCACACTGAAACAGTCACATGGCGCCATCTGTCGGCTGTCTCCAGAACTGCACCATTAAATACATCTGCACAACTGAAGCTTCGTTTGTGGAGGGGACGTGATCCGCAGCTTTGGAAACACTTTGATCTTTGTGCTTCATAAAGTCAGCAGCTGATTGGAGCAGAGGGAAGAGAGGATCCTGTGCCACTGATTGGTGATTGGCATCAGGGGCAGCAGCAGCAGTGAAGAGGAAGTGACCTGTGCAGCTTTGACTGTATTAGGCTGAGTTTACACAGAGACAATGTGGCAGTAAAACGCTATAGTTGGATGTCGGTTGCTACCAACCGTTCATACGAAGACTGTGTTCCAGGGGGGTGAAAACATAAGTGTTCAGATCCAGCCTGCAGAGTGGGACAACTCAGAAACGCAGCACAGCGGGGAGCTCTTTCACACCCGCGAGAGGGAAAAGGTGTGAAATCCCCCTCTGCTCTGACCCCCGCACGTCAATTTGGACATGCGCAGTAGCGGAGAACAAACATCAACAACAATGGCGGCGGTCGCACTAACTAGCTTTGTGGGCTTTCAGCGCGGGACAGAGGATAATTCTACTCCTTCGTTCGTCCAAACGAGACCACGCGAAGCTCTAGGTTCAGTTTCCATTTTCACAGCTGCTGTTAAAAGGCAGAATGATGTTGGTACTTTCTGAGGGTCTGGCACAGGAAGTGAGTACACTGCTGAGAGGGGGTCGGCACTAGATCATATACGGAATCGGGACGAAACCGGAAGTAACAATCCTACTTTCAAATTCGTTTTAGACTGTTAAGTCCTTAAGTGCTGACTGGTTAAAGGCACACCGCGGACTTTGTGACCTAAAGAGTTGACACATATGAGTTATTTTATATGAATACTTGGGCCAATATACAGCGCTTGACACTTGCAATGCTCCGAGCGGGGCTGCCCTCTTGAAATACCGCCCATGTAAGTTTCGAGCAGACGGACCGTCTGCCACCAGGTCACGTGACTTGGAAGAAAGACTTGCTTTACGGCTACAGGCGCTGATATATTCATGGAGCTAAGGCTTTTGCTACTCATTTTTCACCTGCTCGACTCCTGGTCATGGCTGAGGCAAGGAAAAATTTTAAACCTTTGGAGGAGGCTAAAAAGAGGAAACGTGAAAGGGATCGTGCTCGAGGAAAAACAAGGGTCGATCTGGGAAAGGAGTTTGCTCGTTGGCGCAGGTTGAAAGAAGAAGCTGGATGTAAATCTGATTCTGTTTTTTCAACTTCGTTGTTAGACTGGTAAGTGAAGTCTTTGCTCCTAGTATACAGTAAAATGTCTTTGTCATTATTTTCGCTGTTTAGTAGAAGCAAAATACGGGCAGACGAAGCTAACAGGCTACAAACCAAAGCTAACGTGTGTAGCGCTACGTGTGTAAATCTCAGACATTTCGCATATGTAACAGATTCCTACTTTCATAAAACTAACTTGGTTGTGGTAATTCTATACCCCCATGATACTGCTTTGCTGATTCTATTTGCACGTAATTATACTGTGGATGTGTTTGCCTAACTAGGGCTAACAAGCTAACAGGCTGCTATTAGCCCATCTACCGATTCAATGAAATACCAACACTTTTAATTTATAGGCATACTGTATTATTGCACCGGTTTGTTATGGCCCATTTTGCCTGTGCTGTTGGCATTGCTTTCATACAAGGACTTGTCTTTTTGTTTAGTTACGAACGGAGAGGTGTAGCAACATCCACACCATACAAAGGAGAGGGCACAGCAAAACCTGGACCACCAGTATCGAGTCTTACAGACTCTTCGGATCATGACAGGTTTGCACTATGTTTTAGCTGTAGACAGTTTGTGGTACAAATCAAAATATTCATTCAAAGAGGTATAATTATAAGACACTATACATGGCTCACTGATGACAATGCTATTGATAAAAATAATTATGCTTTGCACCTGCACAAGCAGATTGTACATAAACTAATAGAACTATAAAGACAAACCAGAGCTTCAGTGATATTATAGCTCAACATTCTTTTCTACTTGTGTAGGGGTAAAGAAATGGTCCTTTCAGGTGTAGAGGAGTTGATCACAGCAAGTGAAAAAGTCGACGTGCTTGAATCAAGGTGAGTCCATTACATAATAATCAATCATTTTGTGAGAAGAATATACTCATGTTTGTTTATTTTTTATTATTTTTTGCAGTATGCACTCGTTGGCAATTTCTGAAAAACATGATGACGACCTAGAGGCTGCTAATGATTTGCAGAATAGTATGTAAGTGCTTTACATTGTGTGCAAATTACCCTTTTCCTTTTTGTATGTATAAAGCGTGCATTTCAAGACCAATATGTATTTTTCTGTGTAGGATTGAGATGGAGGAAGCTGTTTGCTGGGAAGATGACGACTCTGATGAGGATTATGTTCCTTTCCTCTATCTACGGTATGTGCTGTTCATAAATTACTTATCGTAATTTTCCACTTGTCACAAAATATATAAAGCTGTTTAATGACACTGACTCCTCAATGTTATTGTAACAGATCTACTGGAGCTTCAAGGGCAGAAATTGACAAGCTTCCTGAAATACACATAGATGAGGCTGTGCTGGATGTAGAGGAGGTGCCCATATTGCCTGAAGAAGATCAACACATTCCTGTAAGACACAAGGTTGAGACTGTAGAGGACCTCGTAGGAAAGAAAGCGAGCATCTGCTACAATGACAACTTGCTCTCTCTTGCAAGGTATATTAATCTCTAAGACCTATAGCTACTATCTTATGCCAGCCTCTCATTTCCTGTTTTACTTTTCAAAGGTACATGCAGTTGCCTGTACAGTTGTGTCAGTTCCGAGATCCTATTTTGGGGACACTATGCAATGGAAGGCCTCCTTTTCATGTGCAATTAAAGCCCAGAGGGACTGGTGTCATTCTTGAATGGGTAAGTGTAAATGCAAGCACCACCATTGTTTAGAGAACGACTTTCGGGGGAGCCTGGAAAAAGGTGTCACCTGATGTGGGGGTGTTGGTAAAGGTTGTGAGAGAATGTATTGAATTGCTAATTGCTTTGTTCGTCTTTACTTAGGTTTGCCCTCACGGACACACTATTTGGCATTGGAATTCTCAGCCACTCCTAAAATTTGGAATGCAAGGAGGCGATTTCATGCTGTCAACAAACATTCTTCTCTCTGGAAACAACTACAAAAAAATTTCAGTTGTATCTTTTCTCTTATATCAGGTGATGGCAGAATGGACTCCCCTGGTATGTGATGCTATACAAAAATCTTCCCATGTGGAAAAAAACTCTTGTTACTTACCAAATGTTTATTTGTAGGCCACTGTGCACAATTTTGTACATACACCATGATTGAGCACGAGACCCGTGACATTGTGCACATTGTGAGCGAGGACAAAAGGAGATTTGTCAGGAATTCGGTCATCTTGGAGAAAGTCTGTTTTGAAAGTACAATGGACTGCCTTCTCAACGAAATCCCTATAAAAGAAGTAGTGACGGATGCTCATATACAAATATCTGCCTTGCTCGTTAAGTATATTTCACACTCAATCAAACTTCTCATCCAAAAATAATTTAACTTAGGAAATATATTATCTTCAGATCCAGTACGTGGAAAATACAAGGATTGGAGTTTAACCCATTCGCTGGATGTCTGGCATGCTTCCAAAAATATTGGAAGGAAGCTACGCGAAGTAAGTCAAATTGCCACAATTACCACTGTTATTTGTTGAATGATTTAATCTCAAATAGGAAAAGACCTTTGGTACAAAGTCATTCTCATAAATGTATTTTGTTATCAGGCAGCAAAAGGCAAGGAACATTCTGTGTTGATGCATTGGGTAAAGGATATAGTGAACCATATCCTGAATAACAAGAGATACTCAAAGTGTGTGCCATTTTCAATTGTTATCGATCAATGCTTTTACTTTACAGATACTGTGGCATGGAGTACTACATCATGTACGCAATGAACACACATGGGCCACAGGGTTCTGTGAGCATGAGCCATTGGATCTCTCCCTGAAACCCTCAACTCAGGTCAGAAATCTAGGAGTAATAATGGACTCAGACTTGAATTTCAATAGCCACATATCATCTGTGACATCATCAGCTTACTTCCACCTAAGAAACATTGCTAAAATTAAAAACATTGTGTCTAAAGCAGACTTGGAGATTCTTATCCACGCATTTGTCTCCAGTCGATTGGACTACTGCAATGGCCTGCTCACAGGTCTCTCTAAACAAGCGGTAAAACAGCTGCAGTACATCCAAAATGCTGCAGCTCGAGTCCTGACTAGAACCAGGAAGTACGACCACATTAGTCCGGTCCTCAGGTCTCTGCACTGGCTTCCTGTGGCTCAGAGAATAGATTTTAAAGTAGCTTTACTTGTGTACAAGTCTCTCCATGGCCTCGCACCAGGGTACATCCGCGACATGTTGGTGCCATATGAACCAACTCGGGCTCTGAGGAGCACAGGGACTGGACTTCTGTTAGTGCCAAGAGTCGGAACTAGACATGGGGAGGCTGCGTTTCAGATTCATGCAGCTAGAGTCTGGAACCGTCTTCCCGAGAGTGTGAGACAGGCGTCTACTCTAGCAGTTTTTAAAACTGAACTGAAAACAGTTCTTTTTAGCTGTGCATACAAGTGAATGATTTTACATTTGTTTTTATCTTTAATCTTTTTAATGCGCTATGATTATTTATGATTATTTATGATTGTAATCCCTTGTGTGATTTTAATTTTTTACGGTTTTTAACTACTTGTGTGATTTTATATATCTTGTGCTCTTAATCTGTCTTTTTATGTTTACTTAAATTCTAATGTTTGATGATTTATGCATGATGTTATATGGGTTGTGAGGCGCTTTGCGTTGCCTTGTGTAGGAAAGGCGCTCTATAAATAAACGTTGATTGATTGATTGATTGGATGACAGCAGTCAAGATAAGCCGTGGATACAGCAAGGTAACATGGAGCATTTTGTTTCACTCATTTAGAACATTTGGGCGGCACGGTGGCTGAGTGGATAGCACTCTCGCCTCTCAGCAAGAAGGTCTTGGGTTCGAATCCCGGCTGGACCAGGGCCTTTCTGAGTGGAGTTTGCATGTTCTCCCCGTGTCTGCGTAGGTTTCCTCCGGGTACTCCGGTTTCCCCTACCACTAAAAATATGCACAATAGTTCTGGCATGCGCCTCCTGTTCGGCGACCCCGCTCCCGTCTCTGTGTGGAGTGAGAGACAAATGCCCAAAAAATAACAATTGTAAACCGCTTTGTGACTCTGGTCTGTGAAAGGCGGTATATAAATAAAGCTTACTTACTTACTTACTTACATTTTATTTTGTCAAACTTCATGTTGAAATACAGTAGCTGTATCATAACTTCCTTGTCTTGCAGGTTCTGCTGCTCATCAGACCTATTGTTTTGAATAAACGCTGGCTTAAAAATGTGAAAAAGTACATAACATTCAGGTATGTTTGTGCAGTTTATCTATTTTTTTCTCTATCCTTTTGTTGCTTTGGATAATGTAAATGCCATAATGTAATGCTTTGGATAATGTTAATGGCATAGACCACCACTAATTTCAATCTAATTTTTACAGAACTACGTCAGATTTGGAGAGTTTTCAGAACCATATTCTGATGTATGCAGGGAAGCGCTTTGCCTATAAGTATAAAGTGTACAGAACCAGGGTTTTCCTTGCTGCAATAGATTACAACTACCACAATGGTCGAGAACATAGACGCAACAGAAAAGGAGAAAAAATGTATGTATTTTTACTGTACACAATTTTAAATTTATTGTTTGGAGGGTAATACTATGTGGTATTCTGTGTTTTACAGTTACAGACGGTACTACAATAAGAAGTCAAAAAACTGGAGTGTGCATGTTACAAAGGAGGCCAAGACGTATGCCTACATTCCCGACCTTCAGAAGGCAATTCTTAGGAGAAGATTAGAGAGTGGGTCAGGCCTTCCTCGAAGAAGAACCCTTTCAGAAGATGACCCTGAGCGCCTTGGACTGGTTGGCACAGCGGACACACCACCCCCCACTGCTGAACTTGTGGCAAGACACACTTCCCGGGGAGCAATGGCTCTACTAATGGAAGAATAGGACATTTTGTTTTGTAACTGTTTTTGTTCATTCTTTATTTGAATAAAATGTATGATAAGTTTTATGCTGTGCATAATATTTTCCCTAAATAACTAAAGTCTACTTACAAAAATGTAAACAATTGTAAAATCTCGTTGAACTACAAAAGAAATACAACACGTATTTTAATATGTACACATTTTTATTGATATTAATAAGTCATGGAAGCCGGCGCACTCTAAAACCTGTGTATTGTCCATTAGTGTCTGGATACTTGGTCCTAATGCGCCACACAACACAGCTTGGTATGACCACCCTATTGCCCTCCCCTAATCGCCCATGTTGCCAGAGCACAAAATTCCTATAAGCTGCATGTCTGTATGAGCGCTGCTCTTCACCTGGTTCCTGGATGTCATCGACTGCAAAGATGTCATTCCACGCAGCACGAGCTAGACGCAGAACTCCCTCATCCAGGATATAGAAGTCCATGTGTGGTAGATTACTAATGCAGTCGTCTGGAGGCTGACTACAGCAGAGTCTCTCAATATCTGTAGGCATGTCTCTACAGTTTGAACACACACACCAGTGCATGCGCCCAGGTACAGGAGGTGATTGAGGAGTGTCCTGCAGTGCAAGGAGATCAAAAAGCAGTCCAGGCAATCTGTCTAGCACTAATTGGAGCAGGGCATCTCTTTGGTTTGCTTCAAGTGATTGTAGTCTGGCCTAAGATGCATAAAACACATTTGTCAACATAGTAGTCTATAAATTACAGTATAAATAATAAATTGATAAGTGTACACATACCTGCATATCAGCTCTCCTCTGTTGAAGATCCTCGAGCCTTTCATAGTCAGCTGTAGATGGTCTGCTTCTTCTTCCTCCTCGTCCTCTCTCCATCCCGCTCCCCCCGCCTCTCCCTCGTTGTCCTCCGCTTCCACCGCGTCCACCTCGTCCTCCCCCGCGTCCACCTCGTCCTCCGCCGCGCCCACCTCGGCCCCCTCGTCCTCTCCATGTTTCGGGAGGGGATTCGGAAGATTCATCAGGCGGTGAAGAAATTGATGATGATGATGACTGAAAATAAAACAAACATCAGCATAAAAATTGATAATGTACTTACTGCGAAGTCGTGTAACAGTCGCAAAATACTGTCGTTATTTGTAAGCTTCGGTTTGTCCTTTTACACGTTCATGTATGTTTATTATTAGTGGATTATACGATTTTAGATAGAAATATGTATGCATTATTGGAGGCTTATTATGATTTTATATACAAATTCATAGTTTACTACAGGACAAACACAAAAAAAGACGACGTAAGTCCGATCTACAGATAAAATAAATCCAAAACAACACAATAAGAACTTGGTTTTAGGTATAAAACAGCTCTACGACTTACCTGATCAGACATGGTTTTCTGTTCACTTTTGTGCAATTTCTTTATTCAGCGGATGTCTTCTTTTCTTCAATCGTGAACACTCTTCAACCAACAGGTCCACTACTGTCTGAATACACACTCAAGACACCGGCTGACTGCATGGATGTATTGGCTGACTGTTTGTTGACTTTTGCGACAGTGATGAGTTGCTTGTGGCCACTAGGGGCGCTAAACGTGAAAGTTGCAGGTCTAGCGCCCCTAGTGGCCAAGAGTTACACGGTGTGCCTTTAAGTTTTAGGCGTCTGATTAAGATGGTTAAGGTTAGGGTTAAGGCTGGGTTGGGGTTATTTTATGGGAATGGCTGGTTAAGTTTAGGCATGAATAGGTAGTTTGTTGTATTTACTTCTGCTTCCGTCCCGATTCCGTATATGATCTAGTGCTGACCCTGCCGAGAGGGGGGCTGGGGGTCGTGTGAGTGTTGTAAAGTTTCTCTGCCCACTACTGGCCGGGCGCTAGAACTACATAGTTTTTCAACCTCATGTGAACGCAGAGAAATTTGCATTAGGAGCCTGGTCGTTTCTGTTAATAGCCTGGAAACATCTGCGCAGCGTCTCAGTATAAACAGGGCCTTAGAATCCTGTGTGTTTTAGTCAGTGGGGGAGGGTCCCAGCTCAAAAGTGGCCAAATTGACGGGTGCTGACATGCTTGCAATACCACCCCGGGCCGATGGGGGTGGACCCGGAATGTGAATTCTATAATGCTAACATATAGCATTAGCAGACCTCTCAAAAACGTCTTTACTGGATGGACCTGTTAGTATTAGATAGCAATATGGCCTACGTGCAGGACTCTACAAGGACTCTGATTATTTTGACTATGATGTGACTGTCTCTGTGTGACACGTACGTCTTTCGATGTGTGACGTGACAATGACTATATAAACTGTGTACTGCCTTTATTCTGTCTGAGAGAAGGAAACAATGGAAACCACTGGAACTTGAGAGAAACTTAAATAAACTTCCAGAGTTTGGCGCACCACGATCCTTCTCTGTCTGCTTCATCCCTGACAGATTTGGTGGAGGATGTGCGGCTCAGTGTGTGCCATTCTCTGGATTGTTTTGAGGGAGTTTTCTTTGTTTCTTTTTTTCGGCGTGTGGGAGCAACAGCACGTTATCTGGAAGGGGAGAAATCCCAGCGGACGCTGAAAGGGCTCGCTTTTGGATGGGCTTGCTCTTGCTCCCTCACTTTCTCTGTTTTTGTGTTTAAATTGAATTTTTCGACGCGGAAAAGATGTTGGTCGACCTCTCGAACAGTCCGGACAAAGAAAATAAGGTAAGCAGACACCTTTTTTAATATGTAAAGTCTGCATAATTGGATACTAGCTAAATTTTGAGCTGTCCCGGAGGTCTGTCCAAATCTCTCTAAATCAAATTTTCTTTGTTATGTCTTTGTCACGTCTTTGTCATGTCTTATGTTGTAGAAAACAGGTCAGCTGTGTGGGTAACCAGTCCCTATAGGAAAAAAAGAACCCCTTGACGTATCGGGGTCCCTGTCCTTTGAAGTAGTCAGGGCAGAGAAAGAGTAATTACAGGGTAGAGGCCCTTTTAAGAGTAATTACCGGGGTAGAGGCCCCTTGAGAAAAAGAGTAATTACAGGGTAGAGGCCCTTTTAAGAGTAATTACCGGGGTAGAGGCCCCTTGAGAAAAAGAGTAATTACAGGGTAGAGGCCCTTTCTTGAGTAATTACCGGGGTAAAGGCCCCTTAAGAAGAGAAAAAGAGTAATTACCGGGTAGAGGCCCGTTTTTGAGTAATTACCGGGGTAGAGGCCCCTTGCTAGCCAGAGAAAAGTGTTGGATCTAAAAGTGAAACCATGGTGTAAACATAAAAGCAATAAAAAGGGAAATGTGTTAAGGAGGCCTTTGTTACAAAAGCTTTGAAATTGACGAATTTCAGGCTGATAAATGACAAAAGTAAAGAAGCAACAATATTTCAGTGATCACGGTTTAAATTACATACAGAAAAAGGGAGTTTTTGTTTTCGGCGTGAACAGAGTTTACCGGAGAATGCAGAGTTTTATCTAAAGTGGAGCTATGAGAGCTTTTGTGGTTATTTACATTTTTTGCCGAGTTTTATCTACAGTTGAGCTATGAGAGGGTTGTATCCAACAGTTGTTTTTGTTTTTTAGAAAGAGATTTTGAGTTTAAACTAGTTTGCTACCTCGATAAAATAGAAGCGTAAACGTTAAAGACAAGAGTGCCTTTTGTTACAAGTGCGGAAAGTGATCACTTCTAGACTTGGATGACAAAAGTATAAACTACAAGTTATATTTGCCTAAAAAAGTAATCTTGAAAGTTCTTCTTCTGTGTCTTTCTGCCTGTGTGTGCACATCTCTATCTTGCTGCCGTTGTCAGGGGAAACGGCCCCCTCCTTTGCTGCTCTGGCTCTGAATCAGAGCTACAGCTTTTAGGATTTTGGCTTTTCATAGTTGTTATTCCGTTAAATTTGCTAAATTTGCGATTGAACATTGTGTTATGACACAGTTAAACGTTTTTAAACACATTTAGGGAATAGAAGTTTTGAATTAGTATGTTTTTGAAACCCAAATATTAGTGCTAAAGCTTTGCTTTTCTTTTTAAATCTGCTGCTTATTTCTTAACTTTTTGTGAGTTGTGTTTGTTTTTATGTTTTTATTTTAGATACAAAAGCCGTTTTTCAAACATTTAAATTAGAATCTGTGTTAAAAGTGATTATTGATCATAGACTTCGTCTAAAAAGAAAGAGGGAATTAGGATTAGCTGTAAAAGTATTATATTATTAAGTTAAACTACCCAATTCACATGCAAGCGGTGACTTTTTTGTTTTGACTATGCACCTGACCTTGTTGCTCCTGCTGATGCCACAGCACAGGAGACTCTGAAATGTGCTCCAATTCATATTGACTTAATTTGAAAAATGCTGCAATTATTTTAAATTAGTAGAATAAATGCTGAGATAAATGTTCAAGTGTAAAAGGGAAATTCCATAAAGTGAAACCCAAGGAAGCATAGATAATTAAACACACAGTACAAAAGTACATAATACATATTTTAAAGTTTGAAGGATTTTTGAGATTTGAGTCTTGTTTTTAATATTAAGCGTTTCTGGTCTTCAAATGTCATCATTAGTAAGATAATAAGTAATCTTTTATTTATATAGCGCATGTGGGAAAAACCCAGAGCGCTCCAAAATTGTTTAGACTTTAGAGAGAAAAACAATCTCATTCACATACTGATATCTGTTGTTTTTTTAAATTGGCCGTCTCAAGGATTGTTTTTCAGACTCTGCCACACTGTACAAGGGTCACTGCTGGACACTGAGGGATCAGAACAGTGGAGCCCAGAGTAGACACCATCCAACCAGCCGCAGATCGTAAAGGCGACATAGCTACCTCCGTGTGCCCCTCCCCCACTACAGACCGATGGTCGTAGGTGGCAGTGAGACCGGGGCCACAAAGTGGGGTTTTCTGTAGGCAGTGGTGGGTGAGTTGTTTTGCAATCTGGAAGTGTGCCCACTTTGCTTGTTTACATCGAGCCAGTGTGACCTTTGACACCTGCAGGTGGTTCAAGGAGTCTTGAGACACAACCCCAAAATTCACACACACACACATC